GGAGGAAGAGAGAGAGAGAGAAAGAGCGGGAGAGAGAGAGAGAAAGACGTACATACACAGAGACAGACAAAGAGAGGGAGGGAGGGAGAAAGACAAAGACAGAGAGACAAGACAGACAAACGCACAGAGGCAGGGAGGGAGAGCGAGAGAAGTATTTTTTGGAAGTTGAGCCGGAACGGACCGTGAGCGTGAGAGAGGTGGTGTATTCATGCAAACGCATGGCGTTGTCGTCGTTTGACCACTGACCTCCAGAGTGACAGCAAGCGTCGTTCACCTGCCTGTCCCCCCTGAGAAGACGGTAGCTATATACCTGGGGGCGCAGGAAAGTGACTGAGAAGGCGGAAAGTGGGATAGGGAATACCACTTGTTGATGCTGCAGACTTTGCCAAAGGTGCTCGGGGCCTGTGGGATGCAATGCTCCGTCCTATCGAAGGAGCGTGGTCATTGGTCTACGGTAGCAGTCCCGGTTTAGCTGTTCCTTGTTCAGCGGGGTGTCCTTAGGAGCGGTTCCAACACCTCGTGGCACTGCTGCACCTCGGTAGTCAACTACTACTGGAGTACTACATACATAACTGTCGGTCTGGTTTACCGGCGACGCTCAGAATAGCGGTTATCACGTTTCACACCCTTTACGTGACCAAGTTTGTTGTTTGCCTGACAACTACCTGCTAGTTGTTCGTAAACACCTAGTTGCGCACGATTCCGGAAGAGAATTTGTCTGCAGGCAGCTAGGTACGCACAATTCTGGAAGAGTAGTTGTCTGCAGGCAAATAGGTGCGCACGATTCTGGGGGAGAAGTTGTTTGGCAAACAATTACCGTAGTTGTACAGGGTGTGAACTTTTGTGAAAGATGGACCACGACTTGTACTAGTATGGCATGGGAAAACATGCACTTACCCCTCCCCCCCTCGCGTAAACCATGCGTGTGTTCCCGGACCCCCCCCCCCCGCTGTCGCCCCCCCGGTGTTTTTGCCGTTGGGGTTGGTTTTTCGTCGCTTGGCAACGACGTTGTAAAACAAACCGATCACTTCGTGTGCTCGGCAACCAGGTTGCCGTTTTTTTGTTGCCTTTGGTTTTCTTTGTTTGCGGTACCCATGAATGGTGGTCGAGTAGATTATTTTGTGCGGGGTCGAGAGTCCTCACTCCGCGCAAGGGGGATAATCGAAGCACGTCGTGTTAAAATTGGTCAAGCACCGTCGAGGCAGTTACACAGTGCTTTCTCTAGAGTGAAGCACCAGAAAATAAATGAAGTCATGCGCAGCTGTCATCCTTACGCAAGGAAGTAAGCATAAGATGCCGAACACCTTTTGCAGGATGCAGCGCGCCCTTCATGCGACGCGCCCAATATCTCACCGCCCTTCGCGCTTGATGATGTAAGACCCTGGTCCGGTGAGAACCCGGCGTGCTCCGTCCCGGCTTTGTAGGGATGCGAGGTCCATGGTCTGACGACTACGGCATGCACGACAATGAGTACCCCCCCCTCCCCCTGCTGTAGGAAGTGGGTTGAATAGGCGGGAAGTGAAAAACGATGGGATAGATAGATAGGCTGGGGGAGATTTTTGAGCCACCTTTAGCGAAAGTAGGAAGGAACGATTGGCCATCATCGGTGATCGGTCCTCCTGTAGGAACAACAATTCTCCGTCCGCTCGAGGACGCGTGGTCAACGGTCAAACCGCTGAGGCATCAAATTATAAGAGCACCCCCCCCC